GTGTGTGGTTATTTACAATTAAGACTCTGTAATTATGTTCTGTGTCTTTTTACTGATTTCATTTGGCAGATATTATTGCTAGTTTGACAACCAGCATTTGTACAGTACAGTACAATTGTACAGTACACTGCATACCTATTTGAAATGCTGTTTGTCAATACAGTCACCCCTCCTTTTTTGCAAGGGATCTGTTCTGGACTCTGTCCCCAGCAAAAAAAAAAAAAAAAAAAAGAAAAAAAAAAAAGAAAACACAAATATTCAAGCCCCATTGACTTGAATGGAGGTGTGTGTCCGCAGGGGTAAACAGGGACATACTGTGGGAATGCACCCCGTTTTTTGCCCCTCCATTCATCCCTCATGGATAAGTGAGGGTTGTGGACTTCAAGTCTGCAAAAATGGAGGGACAACTGTGTATGTATACAATAAAAACAATGGCTCCTTCATATCTGAGTTAGCATATGTTTAGGGACATGCAGAAGCTGATGTTTGTGTACAGTTGTGTTAAAAATGCCTCTCCTGGCTCTGTATTGTGCCAGGCTCATGACAAATGTTGCCAGATTATTTTCCCCTACTAGGCTCCTGTGTGAGAAGCAACCGTTCAGTCAGGCAAATTTCCCTCATTCTTTATTTGCATACCAAAAAAAGCATCATCTGTTTAATTTGGGCCGGAGATAGGATGTAACTAGTTAAAATAAATTAAGTTATCAATGAATTTTTTAAAATGAAAAATCCAACTGCTTGTACTTATTTTGAACTAAAATTATTGACATTGAAACACCAGCATATACATTTCTGTAATATTTAGTTATTAATTGTGTTATTCATTAAATTTCCTACAGTGCTAAACTGACAACATTTTTTACAGTACCAATTTATTCTTTACTGAAAGGCCTATTCTCTTGGATTAGCCTGAATCAGGTTAGCAGTCTCAGTAACTGAACCACCTCTCATCTGCACCCCATTTTTTTTAAACCAAAAAAGATCCATACCAGAAGTATAACTACCTAGGGGAACATTGCACCCCAGATAAAAAATCTGCTTCCTGCATGAAATTTTCCATTAGTCTCAAAATTAGAGCACTGAAGAGAGAAATACCTGGAATTCTTTTATTTGGTGTGTTTGCATTTCCTTGTTAACTTTGCCACACCTTTTCCTTGGTTGCCTACACCCTATTTCTAAAGTCTCACCAATAAAGTTCTAAATTATTGCAATGCTATACATTTGGGAAATTAAGGAAAATTTCATGGGGGAGCAGAATTCTTATTGAGGGACTAAAGTCCTCATTTTCCTCCCCCCCCATAGCTACACCCCAATCCATATTACTGAAGCCAAACATTTCTTTATAAAATCTAGAAGACTTCAGAAGCTAGGGATGGGGCTAAGGAGATCAGACTATAATAAGTGAAAAAGAGAAAGCAGTAGAAGGGGTTTTGGTGGAGATGATGAGATATGGAGTTTTCAGAAATTATTGCAGGTGTTTTCTCCAAGCTCCAGAAGCTTGTGGGGATGGAGAATAAAATCATTTATGGCATTTTCCAACTTCATTCTTGTGAGGATTTTAGTGCAGGCATCTGACTTAAATTTATATAGAAATTTATCATAAAATCAATAGTTAAAATTTCCCTTTCCAACATACATGCAATTGAATTACATTTTATTTTTATTTTTTGTTGTGTTGTGTGCCTTCACAGGGAAGCCACAAATGCTAAGAAGCTGAGCTTTCTGGGAAATAATTCTGTCCCAGCAGACATCAGTAAGGAGAAAGCCCAACCATAGTCCAAATAGTTTGTTGTTCCCATTATCTTTAGCTAATGGTGAGGAATGCTAATGGTGAGGAATTCCTCATTCAATGGTGAGGAATGCTGGGACTTGCAGTCCAACAGCATCTAGAGGGCACATGATTGCCACCCTTGCTGTACATAAATTGAAATCTTTCTGCAAGGTCAAAAGATGATATCATGACCAGTGACATCCTTATGGTGGTTTGTGTGTGTGTGTGGGGGGGGGTATGGATCACACTAGGTGACATCTCAGAGGATAGGTGATGCCTGGCTGGGCCCTCCTGTTGCTGTGAGGTTCACTTCTGCTGCCCCTGCTCTTTATTCTCCACTGACTTGGTTCTCTCCATGAGGGGGGAGCCAAGGCAGTGGAAGAGAAGGAGGAGCACTGTCCACCTTTCTGTCCTCTCCCACTGCCTACTTGCCAGGCAATCCTGAGTGGGTGGCAGCCAGGTGAGTGAGCGAGGCATGAGGAGATGACAGAGAGAGGTCAGGGTAGGTTGCCATTGCTTGGCAGCCCTTTCTGGATCTGGCCAGTGATGGGTGGGAAGGGAGGCAGGTGAGAGAAGAAGCAGAAGGAGGTGGGGCAAGTGTGCCCCTCCTGGCTTTGCCCTGTCAGGTTCCTTCCTCAGGAGAAGGTTACATTGGTGGTGAAGAAGAAGGGGTGAGAACACTCCTCCCTGCTTCACACCTGCCAGACTCCCTCCTTAGGAGGAAGCCCGGTGGTGGTGAAAGAGAAGGGGCCAACATGCCACTTCCATACTCTTTGTAGTGAGTCACCAGGCAGAGCTGATTTCCCCAACAGCCAATCAGGGTTCAAGCTGGCTGCAAAGGTGGGGGCTGATGGAGGAGAGACTATAAAAGGAAAGGAGCAAGTTAGAACCTGTGATGAGTTTAAGAAGCAGTTCAGAGCAGTTCTTTTCTGAGGGCTGTTAGTTAGGATTCAGGTCAGAGAACCTTAATGGAATTCATGCTTCTGTTAAAGGGGAGCAAGTTAACAGTGTAAGCGGAGAGGTTTGAATGAAACAAGAAACAGTTAACTTTTTTTTAAAGTTGAGTAAGGGAACTGAATAAGAAACAACTTGTAACTATTGAAGCTCTGTCCTACTGTAACCATATGATCTGAAACAACCTTGAAATGATACAATCTTGCTTGTAAATACAGTCACCTCTCCATTTTTGTGGGGGATCCATTCTGGACCCCCTGCAAAAATGGAAAAGTGCAGATATTGAAGCTGAGTACAACAAGGGTGACTGAATACATGCAAAGAAAACTGAAGAGTGTCCTTTGTTCTGATCACACCAGTTTTCTATCCAGCTCAGTTTTGGCTATGCTGACTGACAAGCAGTGCTGCCTAGTTTCACATGGCAGTTTTTGTCCGGTCAGCTGGGAGTGTTGTAATACTTGACCACCAAGCAATTGGTCCTTATCGGAAAAACCTGACAGTTACTACAGCTGGCCCTTAGTATCCACAGATTTTTTAATCTACAGATTCAAGCAACCATGGTTTGAAAATAATAATAATAAAAATAAATTCTAACAGAAAACCATGTTTTTTATTATTTTATATAAGAGACACCAATTCACTATGCCACTGTATTTAATGGGGCTTGAAAATCCATGGATTTTGGTATCCACAGGGGGTCCTGGAACCAAATCCCAGTAGATACCAAGGGCTCACTGTATTAACTATTGGCCAGTTCACTGCTCATTTAAGGACATATGAGCCAGCATGATGTAGTGGCTGAGCATTGGACTATGACTCTGGAGATCAAAGTTTGATTGCCTAATCGGCCATGGAAACCCATTTGTGAACTTGGGCAAGTCACACACACTCAGTCCCAGAAAACCCCATGACAGATTTGCCTTAGGGTCAGAAATGACTTGAAGGCATACAACAACATATTTATAAAAATCTGCATCTGTTTATATCCTCCCATATCAGATCTCTATAATGAAGGGTCTTTCCCCATTTTATGAGCTGTGATCCCTCCCTCCCTCCCTTTGCTTATTCCCATCCTGAAATATGCTGTCTGGTATGTGACAGCTTTAATATGTGTACATTGCTTGAATGTATCCCCACTAATTACAATTTTTTTTAAAAAGTTTTAAAAATGAGGTATTTTTTGTCTCTCTGTGTCTACTTTTGAACCATGCACATTGCTCTATATCCACTGTTGAAAGCATATTTTTCCAGGCATGTTCATAGCTGCCTGTCAATGTGAGGATTCCAGAGCACAAATTGCATTCTTCTTTCCAGACAGTCCAGACCAAGAAAACCTCAAACTGAACTCAAATTACTCACACTTCCTTACATTCATTCTCTATAACATCAAAGGAATCCTTGAACTCATGGATGAGCCATCACAAATTAGTCACTACTACATAGAGGCAGGTGTAAAAATGCAGCAATCCTTTTGATCAGTTCCTAAACAGAGTTTTGGAAGCAATGTGTTCAGTGTATGCATTGCATAAGCATGATCTCTTTATACTGGGACTAGAAAAACAATTGTTATACAGTAGAATTTACAGAGTTTGAAAGGGTGTTTTGGGTCACAATTTCCCAAATCCCCATCCATGTTGACAGGGAGATGCTGGGATTTGTAGAGACTTTTCCAGAATTTAAAAATGTGACATGAACATAGTATGTTTATGGGTAATCCACGCTTGCCATAAATACAAAATAATATTTCTGAGGTATTAGCCAGATGAAAGGCAGATTAGTTCTGTTGAATTCAGTGATGATATAAATCTGAAGGGATTTTAAAACTTTCCTATATGAAAAAGGCATTCCAGGAGGCACATTTTCTTGGATAGTTTTATCACTTTGGATGATGACTAATGAAGCTTTCAGTCAATGCTCCGAGGGCAATTGGGAGAAGTGTTGGGATAAAGTTGGGAATGCAATTACACTGATCCTGTGACGAACTGCAGTTAGCTATGTTCATTGACATATTCTATCCAATTCACTTAGGGAACCCTACTGAGGCAAGGTGGACTGCAAGGATCCAAGACCACTGAAGGTATTTTTTTACAAATGAGGCAAGAAATTCCATCAACACTTCTCCCTGGCCCTAGCACTAAATCCTCATGGCAGCTGGGGTAGGTGGGTTTTCTCTGCAACAACATCTTATTTTAAATGATCCATGTTGTAGTGCTAAGTATTTGGGGGGTGGTTTAGTCTTGAGGACAATTAAGACCCACTCATTTTGCATAGGAAAGCCAGCATGGTGTAATGGTTTGAGCACTGGACTATAACTTCAGAAATGAGGGTTCAAGTCTCCGCTTGGCCATGGAAACCCATTGGGTGACCTTGGGCGAGTTGCATGTACTCAGCCTCAGAAAGCCCTGTGATAGGTTCACCTTAAGGTCACTCTAAGTTGGAAATGACTTGAAGGCAAATAACAACAAAGTGTTGCAAAAGTCCAGCTACTCATAGAGACAAAAACTTCTAGAAATGGTTTGTTTAATCGGTATAATTCAGAGATGTAATTCCAAGACTTTGACAAAAAAGAAGGGCCTGGTTTACAACTATGCATATGACAATGTCACAGAATGTCTACCTTGTAGACCTAGTCTTGTGCATATTCAACAACAAAACATGAATTTGAAGATGATGCATGCATTTATACCCCACATTTTCCTCCAGATGGGGACTCAAGTTGTCTTAAAAATTTAAAATTATTGTAGATTAAAGCACATGCAAAAACGTAAGTCAAAAGATGCCTAATTAGTATCCATATAATTTAATGGATTTAAAACAAAGCAATTTAAAAAAATATAGGGGATCCTTGGTATCCAGGACCCCTGTGGATACCAAAATTCATGGATGCTCAAACCTCATTTAATATAATGGCATAGTATATTGGAGTTCCTTATATAAAATATATATACACACATATTCCAAAAAGCAAAGCTTGATTTTGCCATTTTATATATGGAACTCCAATATACTATGCCATTATATTAAATGGGGCTTGAGAATCTTCAGAGAGACCTGTTTAAACTGCCTCCAAGATTCAGTGACCAAAGTCACATGAGAGAAGGAGAAAGCTGTCTAACTAAAGAGGGAAAAGAGAATGCAATGCACAATATATATAGAATATTTTCAGCTGCTGACTGAAAAGATAAAAGCCAATAAAACAGAACCCTGCTAAAAGTCCATGCAATCAGTTATAGAAGATGATGGGTAGTTGCTGAAGATTTTTGGATAAAAACCTGTCATGAAAGCCTGTTGGAATGAAAAATGTTTTCACTTGCTGATGCAAAGACAGCAAAGAGCCATCCTGCCTTTCTTAGGGAGTGAGTTTCAAACCTTGACAACATCCTCTGAGAAGGCCCTTTCCTACGTTCTCACTTGATGTGTCAATGAAGTGAAATGTCCCATCTTGGAATACACTGTATCAAATATTTGTGATTTCTGATTTGATAATTATCATTTAACTGTTTTTAAAGCAGCCCTTGGCTTATGTGAAGATTGGTGAGATACTAATCAAATAAAAAAAAATAAAAAGAATAAATAAACTATCTGAGCATATATTTTCTCTAAAAGCAGACATTTCTAAGCATATTTTATCACAACATTTGCACCTTTAAATGCAACTTGATACATTTTTTTTGGAGCTGAAAATTGTGTTGGAACATTCAGGAAGTGTAAAAGATGTGGATAACTTCTGATCTCAACTGGAGTCTGGAAGGAGGAGATTAGGTCATTTCATGCAAGAGTTAGCAGAAATCTTTAGTAGCTCTACCCATCCTCTTCTATCCAAGTGAGACAATACCCATTAACTCTCACTTGGCTCACAGCCCTTTTCCTTTGCTTCCAGTCCAATTGTCCTGCTGAGGCTGATTCCTTGCTTCACAAACCCCTCCCCCATGTTTCTCTTATAGGGTGGCCAGATAGAAGGGTGGAAAGGATGCATACTTCTTCAACTTGTATCAAAAATAACATTTTTGCAAGTGGAACACATCACATGGGGTAAGATACAAAAGCATAGGCTGATGCCATATTCAAGGTCTAATTATTTGTTCATCCAGCTCAGCCTTACTCATTCTGTGTTATCCATACTCCACAGTTCCACACAGAGGAGTTTGCCTTTTAAAAAACCCACAAAGATATGCCAGGAACTGAGCTTGGGACCTGTTGCATACCAAATCTGTGCTTTTCCACAGAGCTGTGATGTCTTTCCAGTTGTACCTGATGAACTACTGTCTTCTATATGTTTGTGAGAAGTAATGGTTACTTGCACTGACAGGGCAGCTACCATTGTTTATGTGGGATAAGCATTCAGATAGAGCAAGGATGGGAACAAATCACTCTACAGATGGTGTTAGACTGCAGTTCCCATCAGCCTGAGTCAGTGTAGCCAATGATGAGGAATGGTGAGAATTGGCAAGTGTAATCAGTGGTAAGGGATGGGTGGAAAATGGCATAGTTTCATCTTTGATGTAGAACATATCTTCAAACAGAGGACATTTCTCTGATAGCCCTTCACAGACAGGACCGTCCTGTACAAAGTGGGTCACAGCCATTTTAAAGTCAATTCCTGGTGTCTTCAGTTAATGACTCACAGGCAACAGGGCTAAAAATGTATTTCTAGCAGAAAACTTGGAGAGTGTGGTGACTTGCAGGGAGAGACTGGCAAAAGCTTATGTTTACTGGTTAGGATTAGACAAAGATCTTTGCTGACTGGACTGACAAGTGAATCTTATTTCAACCTGGGCATGCTAGCAATGGACATAGCTCCATCTTCCAAAAGCCTCCTGCCATGATGTCCATCTTCTGCATGTTGTCAATTCACACAAATGCTGCAGTACAAGTCAGTGTATACTAAAAAGGTATACAAACAGAACGAAATGTGTGATCCCAGCAGCATTTTGGTAGCTCCCATGTCACTGGTGCTGTAAATCCACTTTGGTTCTTAGTCCAAACATCACTAAGAAAGACCTCCAAGATCTGAACCCTATCCTCCAAATAGGTTAGGCATCTTCAAGAGTTCCATTAAAATTAAGATGAAAATTGGGAGTGAATGGCTGGCATTGGTGATGTCTGCTGGAATGCATGGCACAGCTGGTTGTTTTTCTACCTACATCTTGAATTAGAGCCTTTCCAAATGGTCACTCTCTGTAACATTCCTGGCCTGAATCTGCACTGCAGAAATAATGCAGTTTGATGCCACTTTAAATACCATGGCTCAATGCTATGGGATTCTGGGGTTTGTAGTTTGTTGTGGCACCAGAGCTCTCTGACAGGGAAGGCTAAATATCTCAGAAAACTACAAATCCCAGAATTCCATAGCATTGAGCCATGGCAGTTAAAGTGATGTCAAACGGCATTAATTCTGCAGTGCAGATGCAGCCTTGAAGAAGGCAAATAGTTAGCTAACAAGCTAAGTTGGAAGCCAGCAGCAAGCAAATATTAGTGCCATCAAGCTACTTGTTCTGGACAATAAGAACAGCAAACAGATCTGGGAGAAACTGCCAGAGGTTAGCTGTTGCTACTCCCCTAGAACTTTCTTTTGCACATGGCTGCCTTGCTCTGCATAATAGTGACTCTTTATATTGGCTTTTTAATTCCCACTACTGGTTGCTTGTCAGTTATAGTAAAATAATTGGGAGCAGACAACCCTACCATGTGTTGTATCTGCTTTGTTTAGCAGCAGCAACACCAGCCACCACTGCAAGAGCTAGATGATGAGTAAGAGTTTCTTCTCAACCACAAATCTATAGGTTGGTATCATCTTCTTTTTTGTATCAATAGTCTTCATGCTAGCCTGCAAAAGAGTAATATGGGCTCTCCAGAGTCCCATATGTCACTGACAGATTTGCTTTGTTGTGCTTGAATAACAAAGTTGGCAGAGAGGAGCTTACTTTCTTTCACCTTAGTGATGCTCTCCTTAGCAGCTATTTTTAGAAGTCCATGGATATATAATGATGAAAACTGGGGCTTGCTGAGGATTGAGGAAGGCAAATTTTATTAACACCCCCCCACTTTTTTGACTCATAAAATTCCAAGCATAATTCTACATGCAGGAGGTTCCTGGGTCAGGGGCTCTGCAGATGGTGAAAAGCGTCGTCTTGGAGCCAGTAAAGGGGAGGGGCAGTCACATGCCAGGTGCCCCAGCCCCTTCACGAGGACATCATCAGAATATGCACCATTGCACACACCGAGCGCTCTGATGATGTCCTCCTGGCACAGCATCTGAACATGCTGTGCTTGAAGAGGTGCAAAAGAGCCACATGGCGGATCTTTGGGCACCCTTTCCACTGCTTGGGAAAGGAGTGCTATTTTGGCACTCTTTTCCCAGGTGTCAAAAGGGAGGATTTGGGCTGAGGCGTGGGGCAGCCTCAGCCTCAATCCTCTGCTTCCCAGGATGGCCCATGACCACCTGTCTGCATCCTCCCTCAGTTTGGGTGGCTATTTATACATTACAAAAGGAAATGGAAATACAATATCAACAAGAGGACACTGACAGGCCTACAGTTTGCTTTTTTGTTGGAAGAGTTGTGCATTGCATTCCCTTTTCCCTCTTTAGTTAGATAGCTTTCTCCCTCTCTCATGTAACTTTGGTTACTGAATCTTGGAGACAGTTTAACAGGTCTCTCTGAAGATTCTAAACCACTTGTAACAGCAATCAGTTGTCCCATCTTCCTGCTATATTAAAGATGGTGAGATTTATTCTCCTTACCCAAGCCATCTGCAGTTAGATTAGGTTTTAGTTATTTTATGTAAATATTTCTTAAAGGCATTATTGTTTGTTTTTAAACCACAAACTACAAGTTTGTCATTTTTGAGCTAGGGCCAATGCACACAGCCAGGAAGACACAGAGCAACTCCTGGGAGTGATGTATCAGGGCTGTTGCAACCGCACACCACAGCCTTGATCAGGGGTAGGCAACCTTTCCCCTTTAAGGGCTGAGGGACTTCAGCTCCCAGAATCCCAGGAGCTATTGGCCAACATGGGACTATTGGCCAACATGGCTGAGGCTTCTGGGAGCTGAAGTCCCTTGGCCCTTAAAGGGGAAAGGTTGTCTACCCCTGGCCTTGATCCTCCTTTTTTCCGCCCTGAAAAGAGCAGCAAAATGCCGTTCCTTTCAGGGGCAGCAAAAAGCCACCCTTTCAGCCATGGCGGTGGCTTTTTAGCACATTGTGCCAACTGGGCATCCTGACACTGTTCACCATGAGAATGGGCGCGTGGTGTCAGGGTAGGGTTAGGGTGGAGTTGGGGCAGCTGGCATGCAGCTGCCCCACCCCAACTCCACCCTCAGGCTTTAAGGCTGGTCTGCAAAGCC